TGTGTCATAGTAAATAATAGATGCATGAGGTCTGTTTATGAAATGGTAACTAACCGTCCAGTGGGCGTGACGTAGATAGCTTAGTAGTCCGCTTTTGTAGCCGGTCGTAGGCCCTTCTGAACATTAAACGGAAGCATTTCTCCAACTCATGCCGATCTGAAGGGTGATCGGAATTCCACCTATTGAACACTTCTATGTAGACGGTTGGTAAATGGGAAAATTATGTTTTAATACCTAGGACGAGTGAGTAGGTTGGGGAGCCGAAGAACGCGCTCTTCCCGTGTTGTCGACCGTAAAAAGTCAAATGATGTGTTATTTCATCTTGAAATAGGGCACTGAACACGCGGTCGACGAATGCGCTCAATGTCCGGCCTCCAAAACTAGCTAAGTGGCTGACCTATACGAGAAATAAGTAGGTCATAAGACACTTACCATCTGCTGCCGAAATTCGGTGTCTGTCAGTTTATTTGTAAATCTTTCTAAATCACTCAAGCAAGCCATTCGTCTAAAAGGTGCAGCCACAGACGTTGAAGTGGATAAGGAAATGGCTGCACTGGCACGTCCTTCGGCCCGAGCATCCAACTTCAACTCAACCCGCTCTAGTCGTTTAGTATTCTCTTTACTATTATTTATCAGCCACCGTAGAACGCCTCTAAATTTCCGCCGCATTTCGCGGGAGGACATGTGTCTCCTTTTGCGTTCGGTTCTACTCATCTTATGCCCTAAGAAAGGCATAATAGAATGAAAGGTAATTACCTTTGGATTTTGGGGAGGCCACCAATGGCAATGTAGAGCTGGATTCGGAGTTTTCTGATTGCGAGTGCTGTAGACAACGGAAAATTATGTAATTAACATTCATACTGATGTCGTCGAGAGGTTTAATTCATTTTCCCACATGTCATCATCGTACGGGTTCCTTGCTGACCGCCTGGGTCTCTTCTTTTTAGGGCTTTCTTCCTCTGAGGACATGATACTCTACAACCCAACAGGAAAAGTAGAGTGTGGGTAGGATAAGAATATGTAGCTAATCACTGCCTCCCTTCACTGCCCACGAAACAATAGCTGAGGGACTGTTGGGTTGTAGGTTTCGTGGGTAGTGACCGAGTTACGGTGAGAAGTACAGTGAGAACAGGAGCAACTTGCGTGAATAAGAAAAAATGGATCCGTCCAACTCAGTCATCGAACATCCGAAAATGTCCAGTCATCAGAGTCCCAGCGGTCATTGATTTCAATCAGAACAAAGTGATCCTCCAAGGGGAAGCAGGCATACTTCCGTAAGGATGGCGGCAATGGGCATGTGTTAAGTACGGTCCCCAACCTGGCTTTAAAAATTTTAATGTTTGATGAGTTAACAGGATACTCAAAGTAATCTTCCACATTTTCATATTCGACATATACAAATCCTACATCTCCAGCCGGATAACGTACTATGTTCCGAATGCAAATTAAACGACCGTCAATTGCTACTGATCCCTCCGTTGGATTTGTACCTATAAGACATCTCTGTTTCTGAATCGATCCATATTGTGTACACAACCCACCCGTTGTCGGCAGTGGACCGTTACTGTGCTCACTGTTAAAAGTCAATTCCAGTGGACATTGTGACGGACACCGGTCGGCCTGCAGCTCTCCTAACCTGCGTATTATTTGCTGAAGCGGTTCAGCAAATTTGCTGAACCCCTTCTGTGTTCACATTGTTAATGCAGGCGGGGAATCAGTCGAAGATCCGGGGATATTGTCTACAAGTCATAATTAGTTACTGATAAACGACAATCAATTTACCACTGTCATCTTGCGTCAGTTGTGACTTGTTCTTACGCTGGACACAACTGTCGAGCGACCTTTTCAGGCGCTTGGTAAGTGCTGACTCAAGGTCAGACAGCTTTACGGTGGCATCGGTATTCCACGCTCCGAAGACTTCTGCATGTTGTTGAGTTGTAAGTAACGGCAAACTTACCAAGTATAACCTCATACAGTTCCGAACCGCTGAGGCTCTCTTTCGTCCTTCGGCCTTTGAAAATAACAAAGAGGCTTATTTCATCGTCGAAGACGGCGAAGAAAATCCGCTTGACGAATTCGTCAATATTATGCCCACCTAGGCATGTTAGGAAGGAAGTCTAACGCAATAGGGTGTGATTAATACGGTTGTATACCAGCTGGTGTCGAAATCCCTTGTCCAGTAATCGGACATTCGAATTACAAAAATCGACACCCGACCGTATTTGGTGGTCAAGCGGGTTCGTCGGCAGCTGAGAAGCTACCGGTGCCGAGGTTTTAGCCTGCTGTAGAATCATTGATTCCAACAGCCGCTGACGGCCGAGTAATTTGCGAACAGTCTCCACTAGAATGTCTAGTTTCATTGACTGTGCACGCATGGGTTTGCACATTAGCAGCAGGATTTCCTCCTGCCCACTCACTTTCGGTACTGTTGTCGGGGTGTCGTCACCCAGGCTGATGGTGTCGAAAGAATCATCGGCGTCCTCCTGCGGCTCCTGAAAGGTATAACAGCGTTATTTCACATAACTTACTGGCGATGATATGCCTTCACCTTCCAGCAGGTAGAGCGCCTCATCAATCGCGGACCCCCTTTGTTGAGCCGGTGGTTGGCGTTTTGGATGTTGGCTCATGTTTATATCTGCAAACGCACAGGAAATAAGGTGAATTAAGTGCTAGCATAATTCCACTTCTTCCCTGCAGTGCTTGCAAACCACTCATTAGAATACCTGCGCGTTTGGAGGGTTCACGAGCACTGTTTGCATTGGCAAAATGATAGTAAGTGGCTTCCTTCATTCTCTTTATAATTTCAATTAATACGTAGTGGTTCTCTTCTGGAAGGCACACGTACTTAATGTTGTCATTCGGCAATGGTGAGCGGAGTAACTTGTTATCTATGCTGGCTTTATAAACTTTCATAAGTGAGGAGTTCTTAGGATAGTCAAAGTAGTCTGAAATATTGACGAATTCATGGAAGACTAAACGTATACATCCACCTGCATCGCATAGTATTTTTTTTAACACACTATTTTATTGCCAATTTCTATGCACCTATTGCCTGAGGTAATGTCAATGCAATATCTATCTGTGATTAGACATTTATATTGCTGACTGCCCTCATAGCCTGCAGGTATTGGCCGCGCATTATGCTCATGAAGGAATCTTGGTGATGGAGGCCTTGAAGTATCGCGCGTAGCTACCTCCTCCTCTCTTAAACGCCTAGCTATCTGTTGTAAAGGCCGTGACGGGCTTCTAAGCAATTTCTTCAATCTGCTTAAAAAGCTTTCAAAAGGGAAAGACGAAAATGAGTCCAGTGGACCGTGACGCTCAACATCGTCCGCAATGTGCATTAGGCTATGCACATTGTAAATCATGTGCTCGTCACCGTATAGAGTCGGAAACTTCCTAGTGAACAGTAATAACAACTGCTTACAATAAGCTACGTTTCGGTAGCAGGTCTTAGGAAAGTCCAGCAATCTGAGAGCAGTAAAAAGCAGTAAATACAGCTTATAATGATTAAGAGGCAGGATACCCGGGAGAACAACAAGACCTAGATACAATGCAAACTGCCTAAACTCCGTAGCCTTCCAGGAGTCGAAGTCACTTAAACATCTAGCTGCTTGAGAAAATTTCTAATGGAAGGCATGCGTTCAAAGAACGCAACTTATCGTCTATAGCCTTCATCTGCACTGCCTTCAGTACCGACGGCGTCGTGCGACCACTGTCCTTTGAACGATGATTTCTAACCCACAAACTTAGCAAGCGTTTGTAGTGGTTTTCTCAGTGCACTTTCCATTCTGACTCCCAACTCCTTTCAATTTATCTTTATTTTTCCCTCCCCTACTTCATAGAGCACTATTAAGCGATTTCTTTTTTCTGCGTAGTCAGCATGTGATATACGACGAGGTACTTCTCTAGTAGCAAGCGTATATCACCTCGGTAGCGTTTTTTCGATATACGTATATCGAGTGGATAGCGTTTTTGTCCGGCGGTTGTATATCGAGTAGATATCGAATTTTCGATATACTCGAAAAACGACGGTAGCAGCACGGATTGCAATTTACAGGACCCCCTTTCCCACGGAAATACCTCCGTTTTATACTAAATCGACCTATTCTGTTTCCGTCAGCTCTCCCCTCCTCCTCAATCATCTACCGTAGTCTTAGTTACGAGGACAAACGTATAGAATAGCGCCAAGTACCCACCACGGCCCAGAGTCGTATGAATTGGTAGATGTATATTTAAAAAAGTAAAAAATAAATATGTACATTAGTATTTGTACTTTCATTGCTCTGTATTTGGGCTATCCGTCACTGAGTTTGTCCGGCTGCCTGCTGAAGATTCCGGTGTTGGATCTACGTTAAAGAGTAATGTTTAATTGTTAATGGAGTAACACTTATCGCTGGCCCGGCTGTCGTTGATATTCTTTTGCATTTTTTTGAAAGCCTGTCAAGTGACCGTTTAAGTCTTTTTGTAACGGACACCTGCAGATCGGCAAGGGTTGTCTTACTGTCTCCATTCCAAATGCCGAAGACCTCTGTGGATAGAGCAGTGAGTAATAATTATTGAGAACTCACCCTTGATGACTCCGTACGTTGCCGAATCGGATAACCTCTCTTTTATTTTTCACCCTTTGAAGTTTGCGTGGAGACTGATGTCATCCACGAATAGGGCATATAACACTCTTTTTGTGAAGTCATCCAGAGAACGGCCGCCAAGGCAGGCCAGATAGGAAACCTAATAAACGTATTAGTGAATTTTGCCCGCCTTTACCAATTGACTGCGAACTTCACTGTCCGCAAGTCTCGCGTTTAGCACACGGAAATCCGCCACTGTTCTTAAAGGGCGGCCTACGGGATTTATGGGAAGCGTAGTATCAACCTTGGTGTTGGTAGTCGGCCGCCGAGTAACAGCTGACTCCAAGTCCCGTTGACCGCCCACCAGACGGCGGATACCTTCCAAGATTAGATCCCGTTTTCGCTACATCCGTGCCAAATGTTTCACATTACGTCAACGGTGTGCTGAAGGTCAACCATACGATCACTTAGTGATGGACCACGCCGACTACGAATAACGTATAAGTTGCATTAGGTCTTACCTTCGGTGATGGTGTCCTCTGCGAGAGGAAGTATGCTGAAAGAATTATCCCCATCACCACTGGGCTCAAGTGGTTCCTAAATTTTTTTATTTCAGATTTATTGTTTCTTACTGACGATGATAGGCCTTCACCGCTTAAGTAATTGAGAGCCCTGGTGATAGCTGGGCGTCGATTGCGTTGCGAAATTCTTCTCTCGGGTAGTCCACTCATGCTTGTCTCTCAAAACGAACAGGAAAAATAGCGTTAGACGTTGCATTGCGTAATTCACCGCACCATAGCTAACAACCACTTCTTCCCCGCAATGCTCTTAAACCCCTAACTAAGGGGGCTGTACGTTTGTAGGGTTTACGGGCACTGTTCGCGAATGCGAAGGGACAGTAAGTGGTCTTCTATGACGTGTTAATTAAAATAGAACTTGTCTCCTGTTAAACGCATACGTACTTCGTAAAAGTCCTCGGTAAAGGAGCACACTGGAGAGTTGTATCCATGCTCGCCTTATACACTTTTAAAAGTGATGACTGCCTAGGGTAATCGAAGTAATCAGCCATGTTTGTAAATTCACAGAAAACTATGCTCAGACAAACCATTTCATTCGACAGTATGTATGTTCTTCACCCATGCTATCTTTTCATCTACACCAATGCATCTATTCGCGGGTGAGGTGTCAATGCGAAAACGTTCAGTGATAGCGCACTCATATTGAATGTAGCTTTCATAACCAGCTGGTAGTGGTCCTAGGTTATGCCCACGTAGGAGTCTCGGTGAATAAGCCTTGACTAAAACGCTCGTAGCTACCTCAACCTCGCCAAGACGTCTAGCTGAAGAGGTCGCGAAGGGCTCCTCAGCAAAAGGGAATGTTGAAAAAGAATCAAGTGGGCCATGTAGCTCCACTTCGTCTGCAATGTGTATAAGATTGTGCACATTACAGACTGCATGCTCCTTTCCGTATAAAGCAGTAAATTTTCTGGTAAAAAGTTTGAGCAACTGCTTACAGTAACCTATGCTACCTTTGGGGGTGCTCGGACAGGCTAGTAATCGTAAAGCTGTAAATAGGATTAAGTAAAGTCTAAAATGACTTTGGAGCAGCGACGTCAACGTATAAGACGAACTGTCTAAACTCGGTGGCCTTCCATGACTCAAATTCACTTAACCGTCTAGCGCGTTGGGAAGATTCGGCTGGTAGGTATGCATTTATGGAGCGCAGGCGGTTGTCAACAGCTTCCACATCCGCGGGCTTTAACATAGATGACGTTGTACGTCCGCTGACTTTGGAATGATGATTTCTTACCCATAAATTAGGCAATCTCTTTATTACTCCTAAGTATACGAGATGAAGCGGGTCTAGAGAAAATGTTGAAATTTGACCCAAATTGCAACTCAGAAAAGGGGATATGCCAACCCTGTGCTCGTCGTCGACAGACTGCAGGAAGTCTCCTCTAAGTAGACTACTTTTCCCATGTATGATCCTACCACGGTGCAGCGTTGGCATCCGTGATAGGCGTTCACATTCTTAATTTGTTTCACGAATGCCCTAGCAGGGGCGTCACAGATCACGGCTTTGACCACAAAGCGTGTTGGACGTCCGTCCTTGACGCACAATCCCCTTTCCTGCAGACATTGTATTTCCTTAACGAGTGAACTACTGAATGCGTGGACGTTGGACGGTTTACCACTACCGCAGCCTACTGGAAAGACATAACTAAGTAACGGGCGCACTATTCTCCCCAATATCGGCCACATTTCGACTTTAGATTTCCTATAAACTGGGAGACCGTCGATTGCCAGGTAGATCGCCACCTCTGGTGTGGGGACGGTCATCTGACTGCACAGTCTGAGAAGTTGTTCCAAACCTACATGGACGTATTCACCAGTACCCATTGGAACTACTTCCAGATCGTACGACGCCCGCTACTAGGGTAGTAGCAAACTATCCCTAGTAGCAAGAGTATATCGAGTCGATATAACCTGTAACGGCCCAAGACATCGATGGTAGCACACGGGGTAACGGGGAGCAGTAGATATAATTCCTGGCTAATCTGATGTGAAGAGAGTTGTCAAACGGGTCATCGATGTCATCCAAACTGACAGTAGAAAAAGCCAAGTAGTGCGCAATACGTATACTAAGAGTAGCGGTGTAGATGCATAGGGAACCGTTAAAAGATACAAGGGGGGGGGGGGTGAGAATCACAGCAGATATGATTATCCGTCTGGATGAAGAGGCGGTACCGATATACCAGCTAGAAAACCGGTGGAGAATGCAGCGCTGTAGGCAACTGCGGAGCGGGGCCGTGGAAAGAGCCGACGTAGATCGGGAGATACGATACGATAACGACGGTACCTGCTGGAGATGGGTCGACGAAGACGTGAGGATACTACACCGGTCATTTCCGCCGACATGCGGTTACATTATCTTCATCCTGGATCGGCGCTCCAAAAATGTCACAACATTCAAACAACCCTGTACGGTTCATGGGACGCGACAAATCTAGTTAAGTTTTTTTCGATATACCACTCCTCGTAACGTCTTTGGTTACCTCGCCTATGCAATCTTGTCTGTCATTGGTTGGCGTACGTTTGGCACGTTGCGAAATCGCGCGCTTACGCTTGCACGCCATTATCTCGCGATGACAGCGTGGAGCATGTGAGTTTGTTGCATCCTCCTTGTTCTTTGCTGTTATTGCCATCTATCTGCTTATTC